CATCATACCTCACCTCCCACCCCTCCCACCCCTGCCTCTTCTCTCCCAGTTTTCTTTTGTGTATTGAGTTTCTCCATCAGATTGTAAGCACCTTGAGGGGAGGGACTGTCTTTCTTTTTCTTGTTTTTTTTTTTTATGCCCAGTATTAAACATAGTGCCTAGCACATTATAGCCACTTAATAAACATTTATTGAATTAAATTGAATTTATGGAAAACTTTTTAATTGCTTGTTGAGCCAGAATTTAGCATGCATACAAAAGATACAAACAGATGAAAGTTCCCTTTGTCCCATACAGCTCTCTAGTGAGAAGAAAGAAATGTTATAAGCTTCTCCACATGGCTGCTGCTTCTTCAGTTTCTGTCATGTGGCTTCTTTCCTCATCTTAAGTGAATGAATATCAGAGACAGACTAGACCAGATTATGACCTTGTAAACCTGAAAAGGTTCAAAGAGCTGCTTCAACTAGTTGCTCTTCAGGGCTGGATCCTCACTGACTGGTCTTAGCTTCTGTAGCTAATAGCTCTGGTTACTGAAGGGGACCCTCTTCTAACCTTTCAGGTTTCATGAGGTCATAATCTGGTCCACTCCATCGCTAATACTCACTCTGATCTTTCCTAAGATCAGGAGAGAAGAAACATAACAGAGACAGGAGAAGTAGCAGTGCCATGTATTTGTGGCCACATGGAGAACAGGTAGGCCCCCATCCAGTGGCTTAAAGTATTTCTTCCTTCTCACTAGAAAGCTACTAAGGAGAGAATGAATTTTGATCTGTTTGTGCCTTGTATATATATTACTTTCTGGCTTAGCAGATATTTAATTAAAAGTCTACCACTACAAAGTAAGCCAACTGGATAACTGTATATGCCTAAATCATGGCAGGACTCCTCTATTATGCACCGTCACATATTTCTAGAAGCAAGGTCACTGAGCATTCCCTTCAATTGCTGGCTGGAAGAGCATGCTATGTATATTCCAAAGATTGGGACCTGCTGGTTATTCCCCATTATATTTTTTTATGGTTTGCTACTTCTCTCCCTTTCTTCCTGTAGCCTCTCATCATGCTTCTCTCTCCCCTCCTCTTCAAAGCCCATACTTAAAAGTTTCATCAGAATATTGGCAATTCCCTTGAACTAATCAAGAACAAGGGAGGAGAGCCCAACTGGAAACATACCTGTCCTAGGGGTTAGAAACCAGTATTGATGGACCAGAATTCTGAAGTGCTATCTGTTGGTTATTCTTTAAGGGCCACATATCTACTTACTCAGGCAGAACTCTACTGTTGGGTACAGTCCCTATCATAATAAAGCTTAACTTATGCTAAAAACCTAGTAGGCTTGATCCAAAATAAAATCATCAAATGTTAGTTAGGAGGGACTTTTAGACATCATTTTACAGATAAGGAATCTTTTCCCGTCTTCCATAGAATGCAGGCTCCTTGAAGATAAAGAATGTTTTGTTTTTGTTTTGTTTTTATTTTTGTATTTCCAGGACCTAGCACAGTACCTGACACATTACAGGTCCTTAATAAATTCTCATAGATTAGTTGATTGATTAAAAAGGATTTGTCCAAGATGGCACAATGAACACCTATGCCCTTAGCTCTCTCTCAAAAGAGAGAGAGTAAGAATAGTAATCACTTATATTTATTTAGCATGTATGTATGTAGTATGTATGTATATTTATGTTACATATTTATGTAGTATGTATGTATGTACTATGTATGTGTATTTATGTTACATATTTATGTAAGGTTTATTAAGGACTTTGTTCATTACCAATAGTCCTAGAAAGGGGGTTGCCATAGACATTATTATCCCTATATTGAAGACACAGAAAATAGATTCAGAAAATGGGGCTCACCCTTAGGCACATAGCTAGTGAGTCCAGAGCTTCCAAGATCCTGTGTTCTTTTCATTCAACCATGCTGTTCAGATAGAAGAGACGGCAAGCTTTCCCCTGTTGTGTTGCAGTTGGGAAAAGATATTAGTTTCCTAGAATTTCAGGCAGTTACATAGAATTCCGGCCCTTACTACTTCTGCATAGTAACTTGCCTTGACTCTTCTACTTAAGAACTTTTAATGTCTACTCAAGGTTTTTACCTTGACATCATGGGGAGATCCCTGAGACATCGAGTTTCTATCACAGATGATTTCTTAGACATTTAGGATAGTAATAACAGTAACCTACATTTCCATGATGCTTTCTGGTTTATAACTTGCTTTCTTCACAACAGTACTGTGATGTGTATGTGGTCATGCCAGTGTTGTTATTTCCATTTCATAGTTGAGAAAACAGGGTCCCAGACGGGACATGATTTGTCCATGGTCACCTAGCTAATAAATACTGGAGATTGAATACAAACCCACATCCTTGAACTCTAAGTTTTGCAGTGTCTTCTTTATTGTATGCTCTCCTTGAGGATGTAAAAATGATCCCAGCAGTATTTGGTTTTGGGTGGTGGGGTGGGGTGGATTATGTACTACTTGATTTTTCAGCCAGTTACCTCTTCTCAGACTACACCCTTTATTTGCTGGAAAGGGATTGGCTGGGAAGCAATAGCCTGTGGACTTGTTTTTGGGGTTTTTGAACTCTTTCCTATTCTTCTGTTGGCCTGAGGAAATTCATGTACCAGCCTCTTGTCAGCTTCTTTCTCCCTTTGAAGGTTTTTAATGGGGGCATAAGGGAAGAGGATGCTATATTGGAGCATGATTTCTACCTTCAGGCAAGCCCCTGAAGGCTAACTCATTCTTGTCTTGAATGCCCAGTTACCCACTCTTCTCTGTCAGGAATAGCCCCGTTTCCAGCAGCTCAACCTTTCCATTGCCAAAGTCAATAGGACTGTCTCAGGCAGCAGAGGCATCTGTTGACTTCTTTATTATGTCTCCTCTCTTGTACCTTTCAAATCAGCTCACTATTTTTCCCTTTGTCTTGGACCTTTTCCTATCCTTAAGAAAGCTTGATAAAAATAAGATATCTTGGCTCTGTTTTCCATAACAGGTCACGCATATTTTCTCTCACCAAATTTTGGGGTTTGGAGTGGCTCAGAAGGAGGTGATATATATACAAATAAGTAATGAATATATTTATATTTGTGAATATATATGTACATTTATATATACATTTATAGTTGTGAATATATGTGTGTGTGTGTGTGTGTGTGTATGTATGCGCGTGCATGTGTGTATACCAGAGGACTGGCTAATGAAGGCCCATTGCTTATGAGCATGTATAGGATGCTCACTTAATACAATCTCACACATAAAATCATGTATTCATATTCTGTGACTGATTCTGGTCCATTTATTGTGTAGTGAGTGGCCTAATCTTCCCACTCATATTGATATTAAACATGAACACATGGCCCTGCTGTGGCTTTTGTCCTTATTGTGTCTGTTCATTCTTGCCCTAAGTGAAGAGTATTAGAGATGGAACCCATTGAAGCTGTGACCCTGGGAGCTTTGGAAGGGTCTGGAGAGCACCAGGAGAATTGGAAGGTGAAAAAAATCAATTGTTCTTTGTCCTTTATTTTCTAGGTCTTTCCACAGTGTAGTTACAAAAGTTTTTTTGAAGTTCGATTTTTTTTTTCGCCATGAATTATTCAACTTGGTCATTGATTTTAAATGTTTATCTTTTGTTTTCAAAAAGAAAGGTTGGATTTCCTGGGCAACTGATTCTGGAAAACAGTACAAAAGAACATAAGGAGATACAATTAAATGGTAACAGTGAAGAATTAATGAAAACTGAAATTTCTATTAAAAATCACGAGAGGAATGAAAAACTGACTACAGCTTAAAATTCCCTCTCAAGGAAGGGAAATCTCAACATTATTGGGGTCTCAAGAACATGTTCAAGAAAATTCTATGACCATTACATTTCAGGAAATTATACAAGAAAACTTCCTAGAACTGTCAGCTTTTATTCAGTCTTTTATGGTTTTCATAAAGAAACCATGAGACTATCCTTGATGTTTTTGATGAGAGATGCTTTTCTTCCCTTTGGTAATTTGGAAGGTTTTTACTTTAAGGCTGTTGTTTTGAGGTTTGCCATTAATGTACTTGGGTGAGTTGAATTTCGAGTTTCCACCTTGTTTGTCTGTGTGTGTGTGTGTGTGTGTGTGTGTGTGTTAATTCTGTTTCCAGAATATTACTTGGTTTTGTTAGTTCTTAGAGATGTCCTTTCCTTGATCTCTTTTCTGCAAACATCAATTCCATCTGTTTCGCAATCTTTCTAACCATATTGATTTTTGAACATTTTTCATTCATCTATGTTGTTTGCTTTCTGCCAACTGTTTTGATAATTGTTTTAGTCACATTATAGATTTAAAACTAGAAGGGACTTTTGAAGCCATCATGCTTACTTCCTAAGTTTATAGGTAGGGAAACAGAGGCACAGAAAGGTGAAATAACTTGCTCACACTAATAGTAAGCATCCAGGGCATCATTTGAACACAGATCTTCCTGACTGCAATTCTAGTGCCCTAGCCTCTACATGATGCTGCATATCAATTCACTGATATGTTTAAATTCCTTTTGGGTATAGATATAGGGCCTGGATTGTGATTTTATTAGAATGGGGAACTCTGGGTGCAAAATCCATTTCTACCTACTTTCTCGGCAACATAGAGTTTTAAAGATTGCCCAGAGCATAGTTGAGTTAATTACCCAGAGTCACACACAGTCACACATATGCTGAAGAAAGGTCTTCTTGGGTCTAAGACCAGCTCTCTACCTATTTACTATACCATATTGTTTCCCAGTCTATTGGATTTTATCATTATATCCTCTTGAGATTTCTTTAGTTGCATTCATTTCTTTCTGGTATTTTTTCCTAATAGAAGATAAGCTTTTTGAAGGCAAGGGCTCTTCCATTTTTGCCTTTGTATCTCTAGGGCCTAGCACAGTGCCTGGCACATAGTAGATGCTTAATAATACTTGTTGGTTGATTGATTTTATTTCTTTAATTCCTTGAGTGCATCTGACATTCTTTTATTTTACCTCAGGATTTCTTCTGCTCTTCTGGGATTTACAAGGCTGTGACCGAAGAGTATATGTTCTGACGGGTCATCTACCAAGATGAGAAATATTTGAGTATGGACTTGGTATCAAGCTGAATGTCCACTGTCTGAAGGCAAAACTAACAAAATTTGGAAAGACTCATCATTGTGCTGGTCTCAGGACCATCCGTTCTTCAATGCTCAAAGACTATCTACTAAGTAAGAGAGGTGTTGTGATCTGTGTCAATTGAGGTTATACTCACAACAATGACATTACAGATTTCTAAAGTTTGCATGTCGTCTCCCCAATTAAGTTGTAAGCTCCTTGAGGGCAGGTGAAGAATGAACCTCCTTTATGACCTCCCAGTCCACCACCATCCTAGAAGTGTCATGAGGGAGATTAGCTGATTAGAAATTCATAGGATAGATTGTAGACTGGTGACATGGAGACAAGTTAGGATGCTATTGCAGTAGTCCAGTGAGAGGTGACTAAGCCTTGAACTATGATAGTGCCAGTGGGACCAGGAAGAGATGGATATGAGATGAATGTAGTGGTAAAATTGAAGCAGTCGGACATATACAGACAAACACATGAAGAAATTCAAAGAGAAGTATGACGTAGAGACAGTAGGCTAGGTGGATACCTAGAGAGAGACCTGTGTATCCACAAGGCCTACACAGAGAACTGGGTGCGCCAAGGAACTGGCCCCATACAGAAATAAAGAAGAAGGGACAGAGGTTCAATGAGAGAGAGGAAATGAATTTGGAGCTTCTAGGAGACAGAGATGCCTAGTCTTAATGGAACCTAGAGAGAAGTCAGTAGGCCACATCCTCTTCATGGTACCAAAGAGGACAAATGGAATAAAGGCCATCAGGGAACCATGTGTATTAGAACTAATTCTTCTCTGAGTAGTATGAACCATGCAGATGCAGAGGGAAGGAAAATCCCACTAGATAGGAATGTCACTTGATGCCCCCTGGAATGAAGAACAGAACTTTCTTGACTTGGCAAGGAGCTTGGTAAAAAAGTCGTTTTGCATTTTGGGTATTGTCCATTTTTTGACCGTCTAAATAAGACTTATCCTCTGGCCTATAACTCGTTAGCCTGGATGTTTGCCAAGTAAATGAGAGGTTTTAAAAGAGCAGAAGCTGGGTTGTGTTATTTCTGCGGCAAAGGTGAACCATTCAGATTATTATTGTCAGAGAGGCCCCCAAGCCAAAGTTGGTCAGTTGCATAAGTATCAAAGTTGTGTAAGGGCCATATGACATGTGAGTTATGTAGGTAAAGTGCTTTATAAACCTAAATATCAGGTCTTCTTATCAATAACAATTATTACCAATAATCTACTCCTATGTGAATGCTGCTGAATGCTACTAATAGAAGTCAGTGAACAACTCTGACTGGGTACATTACAAATTTATGCTGATTTCAAAAGGATCCTCCCTAGTGTGTGGTAATCCATTCGCTCTTCCCTGATGGATTACCTATCCTACCCTGCTCAAGAAGTTTTGATGGATCGCTATGTAGGATAAATCTTCTGTTTGACATTTAATACCCTTCACAGCCTGGATCCTGTTTGTCTTTCCAAGCTGGTTGCTCACTACTTCCCCTCACTCACTTTACATATCTGCTCAATGAATCTACTTGCTATTCTTTATTTTATATGACATTCCATATCTCACATCTATGATCTTGCACAGGCAGTCTGCCATGCCTGGATGGGTCTACCTCCTCACCTTTGCCTCCTGGAACCCTTCAAGGTTTAGATGAAGTACAATATTCTCCAAGAGATCTTTCCTGATTTCCTCAGTTCTTTGTACCCCCCTGATCCCCAAATTACTTCTTATTTATTTCATATATATTCATCATTTCTTTTTCTGGGTAACCCCCTAGGAGAAGGTAAACTCCCTGAAGGCAGGAATTATTTCATTTTCATTATGTTTTCTTTCCAGCATCATATTATTTGGCACATAGGTCTTTTTTTTTTTTTTTAACAAGTCTTTGACAAAACTTTTTTTTAAACGAGTCTTTGATGAATTGAATTCGATCGGATTGGAAGTTACTGTAAAATTCTCATTCCTCTCCCTGAAAACAACCTAGGGAATGAAATATTATTATCCCTGTTAGAATTATGAAAATTTTGAGCCTTTGAAAAATTAGGTGATGGTGAGCATGGTACAATGGAAAAAACAATGACTTTTCAGTCAGAAGACCTGTGATCCAATCCTACCTGTGAAGCTTGCTACTTGCAGGGCCTTGGGCATGATATAAAATCTCAATGGGACTCAGTTTCTCATCTGTTGTTGTTATTGTTTGTCCTTCATTCTTGAAGAGGACCATGACATCAGGGAGGTGATGCCATGACATGCAGGTGAATTGGATCTAAGGGAGAGAGGGCTATGCAAAATCAATAGCCTCACTTTTTCTTTCAGAGCCATCTGGGTCCAGTGGCCAGATATAGATCAGGATAACTGGAGATGGCCCAGGATGCAGTGGGGGATCTTGGCCTTTTTAAGCTGAGGTCTTTAACCGAGCTCAGTAAAATGAGGGGGTTGAATGGCCTCTGAAGCCCTTTAAAGCTCCCAATCTATAATTCTATGATCTTATTCTGAGCAGTCACAGAGCCAGTGAAATGTTAGAGCCAGGACTAAACACAAGGTCTTCAAACTCTATGTCAGTTCCTCTTTCTATCACACCATGTATGTCATTGTATTCATCCAAATGGAGTCAGGCTGTAGCAAGGCAGCCAGGAGCAAAACCATTCTACCTGTCCTAGCCTACATACTTACCTGAGAACATTGGATACCCAAGACAGGGCACTCTTTCCCTTGATCAGATCAAATTGATTTCATCAGCATCCATTACCTCAACTATCACCTCTAAGCAAATGCTTTTCAGACCTATCTATCTATCTATCTATCTATCTATCTATCTATCTATCTATCTGTCTATCTATCTATCTGTCTATCTACTGTCTCCTGGAAATGTTCACTAGGGACATCTCTGTGTGCTCTGGGGACTTGCAAGTTTACCACCAGGGACCCATTTCAACAAACAATTTAGAAAATTAATTTATTATGAATGTTATCTGTGCAAGACTATGTAGTAGGTACTGGAAATGAAAAGATGAAAAATGATATAAACCCTGACCTCAGGAAATTAACCATCTACAGGTGGGACTGTGACTTTTTATGCCTGTTATATGACTGAACACTAGGTCAGACTCAAGGGTTACATCCTCCTGTCTCAGGAATCATTCTTCCCCATAGACCAGGATGTTGCATGCATGTCTGATTTCCAGATGGTGAGCTCTGATACTCTGTCCAAGGATACCTCCTCTCTGGTTCTGTACTTCTTAGGACATGTCCTAGGTACAACCTGTTCTGGACTCAGAGCAATTTTTAGTGGTGATATTTCACATTTCTATAGCACTTGGTACTTTTCAAAGCACTTATACTTGCATACTTACTGATGTTCTCATGTAATTCTCCCCCAATAACCCTGAGGATTAGATGAGGGGCAGATACAATTATTCTCATTTTATGGTAAAGGGAACAAATGTAGGAATTTGCTCAGTATCATTTTCAAGACTTTTCTACAGCTGAGGTCTCAGGAATCTTTTTCAGAGCCCTTTTCACTGTACCACATCTCCTAATGCCTGTTCTCTCTCTCTCTCTCTCTCTCTCTCTCTCTCACACACACACACACACACACACACACACACACACACGCAAAGAAGGTCGTTTGTGAGCCTGTTGTATAGTACTTCTTTAAACAACCTATTTAAAGATGGAGCTAAGTCTTATAAGATTTGAGGGCTTTATTTGCCATTCCTTCTTAGTTTGCCTTGATGGATTATTATTCACATTCTCTAGTAAGTGGGAGCATTCCCAAGGCTCATAGGCCTCCTTTGCTTCTCTCTCTTCATTCTCCCTTAGTGATCTCATTTCATTCCTTGGGTTCAACTATCACTTCTATGAAGATGACTTCTAGATCTATCTATCTATCTATCTATCTATCTATCTATCTATCTATCCATCCATCCATCCACCTATCCTCCTTCCATCTTCTCTACCTATCTATCTATCTGTCTGTCTGTCATCTATCTTTCCTGAAGCCCCTACCTGTATTGCCAAATGCCTGCTGGGCATGTCTTATCTAGGTATCACATAGGCTTGTATAACTCAACGTGTTTATAACAGAACTTACATTCCCCTCTTTTTCATCTCATCCCTCTTCCAATTCCCTATTTCTGAGAATTACATTGCCATTCATCCAGTCACCAAGGTTTGATACCTTAGAGTCATCCTTTACTCTCCCTTCTTCCTAAACCTTAATATCTAATCAGTTGAAAAGTCTTATTCATTCTGTCTCCACAATATCTTTTCTATCTGCCTCTTTTTCTCTACTCACACAACCTCTACCCTAGTTCAGGTTCCTATTACCTTTCACTTGAACTTTTTCCAATATCCTTCTAATGGATCAATCTGTTTTTCACCAAAGGGATATTCCTAAGACAGATCTGACTGTATAATTCTTCCTACTCAAAAACCTTCCATAGTTTCCTATCACCTCTATGATAAAAGACAAAATCCTCAGCTGGGTATTTAGATCTGGCTCTCACTTTTTCCCAGGATTCTCTCTCACACTTGCTGGGTCAGTCCTACTGGCCTGCTAGATTTTCCCTTGATGTTTCATCTCTGGCTTCTTTGCACAGAGAGAATTCCAGACAGGACCTCCCATGTTTGGAATTAACTTGATCTTCGTCACTGACTCATAGAACCTTTTGCTCCGTATAGAGGATTTGCTCAGACACCACCTCCTACATGAGACCTTTGCTGGTCTGTAGAGTTGATGACACTTTTGTGGAATTACTCTTTCTATATTTTGCATTTGGTCACTTAAATACTTCCTTTTTCAGACTGGCTGGAAGTGCAGTGGACACTTATAGGTCCCACCCTATTGCTGATCAGCACAAAATTTTTGAACTGCTCTGCTTTTGACCTGGGCTATTTGGTCCCTCCTTAGGTGGACTTGTGGCCTCCTGCCCCCAGGGGGCTCACCATATTGATGCAGGACTTAGAGAGGTTCTTCTATCTGTTTTAGCCCCACTGTAGCTCTCACCAGCTGCTGTCTCCCTAGGAACAGAGATTTTTCCACTACGCCTGGCAATTATTTGTACTTTGTAGTTGATTCCCCTGCTCCTCCTACAGCAGAATGTAAGCTCCCCAAAGGCAAGACAGTCTTGTTTTAGTCACTATCTTCAGCACCTATCACAGTGCTTTGTATACAGCAGAAGTTTAAAAGATGTTGGTTGCATTGAATGAAATGTTACCAAACCTTGTGACATGGCAGGCAAGAAGAATCTATTACCATTTTAGGTTGAGTTATTAGAAATGTAGCATCCAGTCCCAAGGAGGTGATATGATAGTCCCATTATATTCTGCCTAGGTCAGGGGGATGGGATCTCTATTTTCATAAACAGCTGACACTTAGAGTTAGAAGTAGGAGTGTGCTGGTACATGATTAACAACCAACTCTCTGAAAAAAAGAACCCATGACACACTTACATTATAATCTGCATGATTAACATTTTATTCATCACTCTTAAATCTAGATAATAAACAAAATAATAAATCAAGCCCTGATTTGTAGCCTATTTCCAAGGCATAAATGCTCTCAATGAAAATTTAACAATTGACTCTTGCAAAACAGTTTGATCTGACTCCATGCTCTTGGGAAACGACCACCAAGGCCATCTAGTCTTATCCTTACCTGAATAGTAGTCCCTTCTATAATATCTCTAATAAACAGCCATCCAGTATCTGCTAGAAAACTCCCATTTGGAGAGAATCCACTGTCTCCAAGGCAGCCCATTTCACTTTGGGACAGCACTAGTTTTTAGGAATTCTTTCCTTATAGTGATCTGAAATCTGCCCAATGGAAACTTTTGCCAGGTTCTTCCAGTTCTGCCCTTTAGAGCCAAGAAGGACAAGTCTGCCACATGACAGCCCTTCAAATACTTGAAGACATCTATTGTATTCCCCCTAAGTCTTCTTTTGTGTAGGTTAAGCCCGATCAGTTCCTTCATCCAATCTTTATATGGCATGGTGTCTAGTCCTATCACCGTTCTGATTGTTC